AATGGCACACATATGTATGTATTACTTCTCTATGTGCACAAGCGAATCTACTACGTACCTACTATATACATACATATGTACATACCATCGATACAATAAAAAGTTCCTGTGGAGTTATGCGTCGTACATAGCCCGGATCTGTTACATTCAGCCGATCTAAATATATCAATGCCATAATGAGTGAACAGGGAGAGGCATGTACACTACCAGCCGCTACTGTATTCAAACGATTCAATGAGTGTCCCTTGTGCGGTGCAGAAAATAGTTCCGATGCATATTCAGCAAGTGGACGTGACACTTGCATTTCCTCCACCAATGCGCCGCCACCAAAGTAAAGCGACTTGCGTATGCGATCAATGAATTCGCCATGAGGCATTACCTGTAATTGTAATTAAATGAATCGTTTTATTACAATTTTGTAAAAATTCACATGACTAACCTTAGAGGTAGTGGCGTGTGCCACACCAGTATTGGCGTTGCGCATTCTGGCGCTACGCCCATATGCCATTTTTCCCCGTCTCTTATAATGGAACACTCTTGTTGATTGTGAGGATTTTCACTATAAATTTACAAATGCGCACAAACTGTTTACCAAACAAAAAATTTTAACCTGAAAAATTAAGTATTTTTAGAAATTTCGTTGCAAACCAAAACAAAAAACTCAATGCTGTGATGGGAAAATTCCATACGATTGTGAATAATTTTTGAGCGCGGTGTTCTTCTTCTTCTCGCCGGAACATTTCGAAAACTTTGAAGTTGTCAAATTTGACGGCTAAAATTATAGGGTCGCATTTAATTTTACGAAAAGTATTAGAGGTGTTCACATTAAGCTCATTACTCTTCACTAACCGCCTTCATGTGCTTGAAAATCCTCGTGCGTGAGGCCGCATACCAGATCCCGCACGTGTAGACCGCAAACAGTACGAAGCATACTGTTTAGCGCTTGCTTTCAAATATTATTTTTCTCTTTGACAGCTATTTTCTCATTTCGCAGAATTCTTTAGAGTGGCAACATCGTTTATTTTGGCGACAAATTCACTTTTATCCTTCAAGTCTCGAACCTTCTTGTTACCATAGTGATTTCCAAAAGTGCGTCCAAACTGCGAAAGTCTACTTTCCTATCTAAACATCCAGAAAGTCCGTTTTGGAATACTTGCAGAAATCACTTTCGGAAATAAAAATTGCAAGGTGTATAGAGCGTGTCATACGCGGCAATATTTCCACCTTTTCCACGCAGTTCGCCGCTAAATATAGAAAGAGAAATTTCGTGCCCGGAATAAACAAATCAGCTCTCTTTGCACTCCTCGCGCTCTGGGAACTTTTGGTACGAGTTGACACATTTTTGACACTCCTGAGAGAGTAACTTGTTTTTACGCTCTAGTTACCGAAGCAGCCCGGAAATCGTGTGGAACAAAGCTAAAATTTGTTTTCGGATGTAAACAAACAACAGCTGTTATTTCAAATTGACTTCTTAAACATCTCTGCCCGGAAAAAAGTCCGGGCTGTTTTGGGCACGAAGAAGAAGACATTTACGATCCAAAAGTGGAATGTATTCGCTCTCTCTTAAGGCCTGTATGCAGCTCTCAAGAAAAGCCAAAACTCCATATAAAA